AGAACAATCACAAATGAATTCACAACAATGAATCAGGTTACAGGGGAACCCTGACCACTCTTCCACAGAGATGGGGACTCTGTCACATTTACTGCACAGAAACATTAAGGTGATGAGGAGCCTTTTCAAAAAAGGCCACTAGATATAAAAGGAACAAAAGAGCTCCAAAATTTCCCACCACTCCCAATCTTGAATTCCTGTGAATACTCAGAAAAAAATGCATATTTAGGGATTCAAAACAAAAAAAGAGTGGTTTCTCTGGTTGCTCCAATAGCATTATGCAAAGGCCTATGTGTTAGTGCCAACTCCAACCTCTTACAGTTTTCAAGACATGAGGTAACTAATTTATAGAACATGGCTGCACCGTCCTCTTCACCTCAACTGCCAAGAACCAGGGGCCTCATCTAATTCCATTCCAACTTCTGGGGTAATGTTGGCTAATGTCCTCCACATCTCAAATTCCTAAAGCTTCAGAGAGGGTCAAAATGCTGCTGTTTTCTAACAAGAGTATTACACTAATCAGTAGAAGAAATGTGAGCTTATTGGTAACAGATGTTATACGAACAGGTTATAAAGACAATCCTATACATTTATTTCATAATTACAAAACTGTCTTAAAGTTTTATTGCTTTTTTACTTCTTCTATCTTTCTATATTTTTATATTAGCATGAAAATAAAACAGATTCTTCCATTTCATTTCTCTTATTAAGGTTAGCATTATCTGATGACAGGTCTGTGAAGTCTTTTCTAACAGTGTCTAGCAGAAAATCTACTTGTAAGTGGGCATTCAAAAAATGGTGTCTGACTGAACTACTGAGGAAATTGCCCTTGCTAATTTTCTATATAATAATTTCCTCATAACCAATCTTTCTTGGTTATAAATCTTCCAGACTGAGTTTTCAAGGATCATCCATAGATAAATAATAATCACTGGTTTTAACTACATCTAATAGAGGCTGTCTGTTTATCTTGTCCCAAGATACTCTTTCTTAGAGGTTGTTATGTAAAGCAAAGAACTTTTCCACCACTGCTTTCCAGTTAAAAACTGAATTGGTTTCTAGTTACAGCCTCAATCTTAGACTATTAAATGATGTTAACACTCTATTCCTATATAGTTCCTATTTTCCTTAAATGAAATGAAAAACTTAAGACAGAAAGATTAAAAACAGAATTTAACTTACATTCCATCACATGGAGAAAAACTACACTTTTCCATTTTATAAGGGTTTTCTCTCAATGCAGTAGTTCATCATAGAAAAAAATATATATATATAAACAAAATGTGGTAAGCTCACATTTTTGACCGATGAGATAGAAAAATTTTTTTAAAGAAATGCATACTATAGGACAATTATTATTTGTAAGATAAAAAGATGAAATCAACTTTATACTGCCTTACAATCCATGAATATCTAATTTATTGTTCAGGATTCTCATTTTGGAAGTTGGGAAATATTTTCAATGAGATGCCAATCTGCAAACAAAAACAAAAATAGTTTTATAAGACAGGAAAATCCTCCTTGTTTGATGATGTACCAAGTTGTAGTACTGAAAGTGATTTCTGTTCATATGAAAAAATCGACAAATTGTTCAAATTATGTTTTCAGTTCTAGGACTTCAAAATATCGATGCTTTTTCACCCTAGATTTACTTCAGGCCATACCACAAACTAGAAAGCACAGAGGTAAATATACATATACACATACATATACATATACATATACATATACACACACATAACACACACATATATACATGTGTGCACTCATGCACAGGAAAAGAGATCCTTCTCTGTCAATATGCTTCCAAATCCTGAATTTGCTTCCTCCTGGTGAATACTTCTAACATCCTCAAAATAAAGTCACAGATTCCTAGGCTCAACGACCTCAGATCTACTCAGATTCTGAGGGTGAGCCATAATAAAGAGTTTAAGTTACTCTGAAATACCCCAACCTTGCATCCACATGAAGACAAATAAAGCTAGCCAGTCATCAAATAATTATTTGCCTTAATCTAGTAATATCTATCTAAAGACCTAAAGAGTCGCCACCACTTTTTGTTTGTTTGTCTTTTGGTAATATATAAATCACTACCTGCCAGATAGGACATAATAGTTACTGTTAAATCATTCTTGAGTACTGGTCCAGCACATCTCTCTCCCTACACACACACATATCACCAAAGATCCAAAGCCAGAATGGATATCCAGCCTTCAGCATAATAGTCAGCAGTCCCTCCCAAGTGCAAGACCAAAAATATCTTCTGAGCCTAATGGGTATTGCTGACACTAAAATCCCTCTTTATAAGCCTTTTCTGGAGATGTGCATATTAAATGGTTTACAGCAGTATGTTACCTGGATAGGTTAATATAGGACGTTCATCGAATAAGACCATTATCAGTAGGCAGAGAGGAGGGCCCAAGAAAAATGAGCCAGCAGTAAGTTTTAACAGGGAAAATACAGAAAGACAGCTAGAATACATGAGTAGTGAAAGCCAGAATGACAAAACAGAAACTAAATTTGCCTCCTTTACAAATTTATAGGTCAGAGGGTAAAATCACAAGATTTAAACTGAAAGCTATGTGTTCCTGAATTAGTAAAACTGTCTTTGTTAAGCTGTTACAACACTTTCCATGTACAGAAATATATGAGAAAATGTAAGTGGTGAAGATTTTATTAAAAGAGTGTGAATGTGTAACAAAAGCCAATACCAAACTTTGATAATTCCTGCAATCATAAATTATATGGATAATGAAATTCTCTATACCAGAATACCCAGATCTATAAAAGATTAAATGTACATATCCTTTGTACTCGAAAGGATTAAGTACAAAGATAAACATACTTTCTGCAATACCATGTCCTGTTTGAAGACACTAGAAAATTCTACAGCTATCCTTCAAAAGTTCTGAAATAAAAAACCAGTCTACCTTTAACATGAAAACACCTCAAATTGCTAGGAGTGAATCTCTTGTTGACTTTAGACGCTGTAGTTTCTATTCTCCTTGTTAAAGGACACCAGATAAGGCTCTAATAGTGATTAATACATTAACCAAAATGATGCATTGCCAAAATATCTCCAGCACAGACTTTGAAAATCTGGAAGACAGATAGGAAAGGATTAGAAATCCAATTTCCTACATGAAAGTTGAAGGATTGCTTCTTTTTTGTTCTCCTCTGTAGGACTTTTCCACTGCTCTCCTAAATGTGACAATTTACAAATATTCATATCCAGAGGAGCATATTCTCAGAGGGGAGTAAAGATCCCTATTTTAAGACTTGAGAATGTACTTTAATTCTGTAGGCATAGTTTCACCAAATCAGCTAGCAATGATCTTGACCCAATGGATGACTCAGCCTTGTGCAGATTTTTTTTTTTTAATTTACATTAAATTTCACACTTAAAATCCTACAAAGATAGAAGCTCCAAGCATTCTACTTAGAACAAAGAAAAAGCCTTGGAATAGTCATTTGAAAGGATTTCACCATCTGTATTTAACATATTTTACACTAAAGTACTAGATGGTCTCTAAGGTTCCTTTCCATTTAAATCTTCCTTAATTCTCGTAGTGACTTTACCAGACTCTGCTTGGAGCCTTAGCAATTACAAATAGAACATGAATGAGAAAGAAAATTCAGAATTAAAGTTGTCATCATTAAGCCTAATTGAACAGCATAGACAGGAAGATGGCAGTAGAATAAAGCATTCTGAATTAGGGACAGGGAAAATATAATGAGTAGTTCGCAGGCCCATTTGTGAAGCACAACATAAAACAAAGTCTAGATGGTGTCTGGGATATACAGTGCACAATTGTCTCTGTTTCTTGAGTGGCAACCTACCTACCCAAACAGGGGTAGACTCTGGCTTCTATTAATGACAAACTACCTAATTAACTACTGGCAGGAAAACATATATCAACTAGAGAATGAATTCTCTAACTGTGAATTCTCCCTTACAGGTAGTTTTCCTACTTTCTATCCCAAAAGGGAATCCATATACTCAATGCCGCAAAATGGTAAGACATCTCACCCGTACATTGTGACTCCGGCACTTCTGTTCCAAACAAAAGCCATCGTTTTAACTAGGGTGGGATTTATTCTCTTCATTCAGTAAAGGGCTGTGGCTGTTTGCAGGGCATCCTGCAGGCTCCTACACTGACCCTCCTCTCAAGTCACATTGTGATATCACTGTGACGGACCTTCGATATTTAATAAGACTTCGTTTGAAAAAGTGATGTTTATCGGGAGCCGGGAAAGGAAGCTTGAACGCCCTGCGGAGTGCCTCATCACCATACAGGAGGAGGCAATGCGGGCAGGCACCTCCTCGGCCCCGAGCAAGTGTTAAGCAAGCCTTTCCCCAAGTTTCCTTTCCTTCCACTAAATTAACCTGCCAAG